CCAAGGGTGCTGAACACGAGCAAATTGGTTCTGCGCAAAACGCCTGGGACGCGGGTTGGGGTCGCTGACGCCTGTAAATCGGGCTCCAGGAGGTGTCTTCATTTAAAGCGGATGCAATAGTCGCATCCAGTCGGTGAGAAATCCCCGAGAGTAAGTTTCGGTCAAATCTATAGCCACAAAAAAAATGGCCAAAAATGGGCCGGACTTGCATTCTAAAATTAGTCAACAAAGGTTTAGCGTTCATACCTTCAGCATGATCACTAGAAACAGGTGCTGTTGCCTCCTCCAAATGTTTCTTCTTTTTCTTCGAGTGTACTGACGGTTCCTCATGTTGATGAGTATTTTCAGCTATTGGCTCAGCAGCGTCGGAAGATTTTCTTTTTTTCTTTTTGATAATGCTTGATTCTGGAAAAATGCAGGAATACAACTCGTTCAAATGAAGGGGGGGGGGTAGGGGAAGGACTGAAGGCAAGGCTGGGAGTTCTCATGATGGCAGATTCCCTTATTCCTCAAAAAAAGGCGCACCACGACGTGGCGCAAACAGTTTTATAGCGCTGTGCGAGTGAGCACTAGAGTTGAGAGCGGTGCAGCTGAACCACAATCGCATTCAACCGTTTCGGATTACCTAGAGAGCCATGTTCAGCCAAGTTTACCGCCAGGAGAGAAATCCCGTCAATTTGTGCCCTGAGCACTGAGGAATGCAGGAGTAAAGTTTGAATAGTACCAACGTCCAATATTAGTAACAATTTCTATTTGTTCAAACCTTCAGAATGTTCATTGGAAGCAGGTGCGATTGCGGTTTCCTGATGTTTCTTCTTTTTCTTCGAGTGTTCTGAAGGTTTCTCGCGTTCATGAGTATCTTCGACCATTGGATTCAGCAGAGTCGACAGACTTTCTCTTCTTCTTTTTGACGTCTGATTCTGCAAAAAAACAATACAACACGCGTCAAATAGTGAGTCGCGTTGCAGCAGCGAGCTACCACTCAAAAAATGCGCACCACGACGTTGCAAAAACAGTTTTATGGCTCTATCGAGCGAGCACTCGGGTTGAGTGCGGCATCTTCTGGGCTACAGTCACACCACCTGTCAAAGCATAAATAGATGGTCACACAAATGTCAAAATGTGAATGCGCTAAACAGCAGGAATTCCAGCAGAGGATCTGAAGCTCTGGAGACAAAGTGTGGCCGCAGTAGCAAGAATGACCCAACAACAAAAAAGGTTCGCACCTTCAAGCTATGGTCCTCTGATTACGTCTTGCACCTTGCTGTCTTCTTTTTTGGGATGAATGCCAGCTTCCTCGCATTGAGAGCCACCACCTTGGGAGCTCAGTACGTCAGATTTTCTTTGCTCTTGTTTTCTTTGTTTGATGGACTGGCTCTCATTCTAAAAGGCTACTTAGGTCGGGTTAGGTAGAATGGACACAACTATGAACGAAGCCAACCTTTCAAAGGCTCAGCGGCAGGTGTCGCTGGAGTTTCCTCATTCTTCTTCTTCTCTTTCTTTTCGCCCATTTCGCCCAACTTCCCTGTAAAGGAGATAGGAACAGCTTGAACGCGCGAAAGTACATACGATTTGAACTCGCCTCAAACTAGTTTACAGACAGAAGAAGGATAGGCCAGTGGGGGACGGCGCAGGAGTCTTGGCTAACTGGCGCCGTCAGTAAGAGCTTCGTTCGACTTTGCCACGCGCGACCAACGCGTGACCACCATAAAAAGCGGTGCGCCCCGCAATGGACATTCCAATGAAACGTGTGAACGTGCCCAGTTTCAGTTTCGCGTAGCGGCGTCGGTCGCTGCTTTGACCGGGCTGACCGCCTTATTGTGGTCGGAAGATCCATCGAGCGAATCGCACAGGTCAACGCGGCTAGATGAGGGCCGCACAGCGGAAGGATTCGCATACCTAGGTGATAGGGTACAGAAGAGAGAAAACGCTGAGCGGGTTGTCAATCCTTCCCCCCCCCCTCAACACCCTTACTGTCGCCACTACAAACACATCTTCGTATCACACTCCCTTCATGCTCAACATGGTTCGCCGTTCTATACGGGTTATTTCTTCATTACTGGCGTGAGTTACAACGCGATGTGCGCATGACAGTTTAATTGACGGCTTTTTGGATTACGGTAACGGTTCGGTTATCTACTGAATTTACCGTTTTGTCACATTACATACCAAAAGTAGATCTCTCATCTCTAGATCTAAATATGAACAACAACTCAGATATTTCTAATTGGAGATTTCCCTCGTAATAACCGGATTTTTAGAAAACAGGTAGAGGAATAGTTTATTTGCAAAATGTCCACAACAATCGACAATGAACACATATTCAACAAGACAGAAACAAACGCACAAATGAGACCAAGAATCCAAGGAAACTGTCAGTAATGAACGAACATTGGCGGAGGTGGCATTGGAGCGTTCATCACTGGGGGAGGCGCTTGTGGAACATCATTTTCAGGCACACGAGAATCAATTCTGAACGCGACCTGGAAATGATCCCTTTCAAAATTGATTTTTTCGTCAATTTCACAAACACAAAAAAAGAGAAAAATAGTTGCTGCTGGAACAGAGCACGTTTTGCCGTAGGGAAAAAGTCTGCAAAATACGAGCCGTCGAAACTTTTTGCTTTGGTAAGACCCCCTCGTCGGGGATCCCAGACGCACGACGTGGGAAAGTGCAGTTTTGGACACCTTTGCTCAGATTTTCCACAGGTATAGTCTGTGGCGATTCTAAGTAACTGGTGAGGCGTGTCAGGAAGAGAAGGGCATGGTTAGGTTTGTAACACCCTGCTCTCCACAACTGTGGAGGCTGGTAGAATACTACAACGGGTGAACACTGGCAGACGCAGCACCAAAGCAGCCATCCACCTCCTGAGACTCCCCAGCGCCCCCAGATCAAGATTATCAACTAGAGAAGTTAAAATGCTCATGTAGCGCGGTCCATCCACGCCGACATTTGGAGACGCAATATTTTGGCGAGTTCCGCGAACTCATTAAGGCAGGCTGATTAATTTGCCCCCAAAAATGATCCCTTTCTATATACCGTTCAGCTGAAAAATAAAAAGGCGGACAAGAGGGAATACTTGGGTTACCTGTAAAAAGAACTGTTTCGTATCCTTATTCCACATTGTCCAAAATTTCTCAGACTTGTCGACCTCTCTAAAACAAGTATTGTAAGGGCAGCACCGATAAACATTAAATAAGGTCCACAATCTATAAAAGTGGTAGAAGAATGAGTGAAAACTTTCTAACCTGGATGGAATTTTGAACCCTATCGTCTCATAAGGCTCAGCAGCAAAGAGCAAGTACTGCCACCTGAAAAAAAAGTTATTTTCACAACGAGTAATACACCTGTCCAAAAAACTCACCTCTTGTCTGGCGGCTGGATCTTTTGCTCGTAGGCAGACATAAAACGATGTCTAGGTTGAATACCTTCCGCGATTTCAGGGTAATCAATTTGAAACAGAAGAGCTTGTTGGCCTGTGGCTGGGTCACGCTCACGAGTTACCTGCAACTCTCATTTTTTATCAATAACTTCGGAACCTCGTCGATATCGAAGAAGCCACCAAAGGCACATCTACCCCCCCCTCCCCGCCCACCTCACTCTTACATCCATGGTAGAAACTTGGAACTCAGAGCTACCGGTCTACCAACTAACCTTGTAACCAGGTCGACCAATCTTTACAAACTTTCGTAGTTCGATTTTTGGTTGTGCAGGAGCAGGTAGGAACGGCTGTTCCTGCGCCTCTTTAGCTGCTCTCCTTGCCAGGTTTGACTGATGTTTTTTGCCTTGAGTGTGTGCGAGATACGACCCTGAAGTTATCAAGCAAATCAGCAAAAAAATAGTTGCGAATTATAGCCAGAAACTGCAAGTGAATATATGAATGCGGCCAAATCTGAAGGGAAGAGGGGGAAGCAGGCGGTAGCACAGCTAAACCTATCCTTCTGTATCATTCGACTGACGCATAATTCTTTCTTACTTCTCTCCTAAACGTTGTTGCCGAAACGGACTGGGAAAAACAAGGCTTTTTGAAAAACTTCAGAAGGACATTTCTATACGTGAGCAACGGTCATGATAGACGGGATCTAGAAACTAAAGCCGTTTGGAACTCAAATGTCCTCAAATGTGGGTAAACAATCAAAAATGATTTTTTTATGACTGTTAAGACTATCTTGACATAATTCATACCTTCATTATTGTGAAGTGTTAAACACAGTTTACACTCATAAGTGCCCAAATGATTTCGCATAAAATATGGATCTTTCTGTAAATCGATTGTTTCCAACGCCAACTGCCTGAAATTGAAGTTACTGCTCATGGGCTAAATGTACGGGAGATACCTGAGAACCCCCAGAGAATAACTCAAAAACGAATAAAAATCAAGTAAAAACGACAAGTACGATCAAAAGAGGTGAGATGACTAACCTTAGCCGTTCCCTTCGATCCACTCCAGCATCTTGAGCAGATGCAACACCACCACCTCCGGTTTTTCCTCCAGCTCTATTCTGGAAATCCATCTAAACAAATGTTAGATTTTCCATGGCTACCAGACGGACCTACTTATAAGCTGAACCCGTCGTGCGTCAGAAATCACCAGCGAGGAGGGTGGATCGTGCCTGATCACTCACGGAGGAGGGCAGGTATAGTACTTCACTTGAGAAAAATGTTTTGTTTGTTGACTTTTCTCGCTTTTTCTTGCTATATGTGCGCTACATAACCTCTACTCCCAACCGCCTTTGTTCGAAGGCAGCTTTCTAGGGAACGATGGGGAATTTCGGAGAGAAACCGGGAAGGGGTGGTAGAAAAGTTTAGGAGGATAGTTAAGGGAGTGTCTTGTGCCAAAGGAGGATATTTCGGGAGGTCGTACTGACAGCCATGTCAATGCTCACGTTCATGACAGCGTGACCCGGACGAGTTAGCGAATTAAAGACGCGTTTCATTATTTGTTACGATATGTCAACGGCATGTGACTGCCTGAACGTTTGCTAGGGAACAACGGCTGCAAAAGCATCAAAAGAGGCAAAAAGTCATGCTGCAAGCCAAGAGCGGGTTCATTGAGTGGGGGGGGGGGACTCCACGAGAATCGTATTTGGCAAGGTTCTCCCCAA